ACGGTCAGCAAAATGGGCTCAAGCTTGACAATAATTGCGAGGATGGCACAGGAATGTGTAGTATTTTGTTCCATTGAGCTATGGTCACTCTGAGTCGGAACTGACTCCAAAACACCTAACAACAATTTTTTTTTTTTTTTTAACAACAACTTTTGAGATAAAGAAATTGAGACTTAGAGGACAATCTACCTAAATGTCATCAAGCTAGCAAGTAATAGTGCTGGAGTTCCTACCAATCTATCTGATCTCAGGCAGCAAGAGAGAGCCTGGCTGAGGAAGAGCCTCCAGTGACTGCTCACGTCACACAGCTTGTAAGTGGTAAAACCAGAACCTGAGCTCTCATTGTGTTCCACCGCCTCCTCTTTCTGTAGCATCCATTAACACAGAACCTTGCCCAGACTGTTGTTGTTGTTGTTGTTGCTAGGTGCTGTGAGTTGCTTTCAACTCCTAGTGGCCCTATGCACAATAGACCCAAACCCAACCCACTAGTTAGTCACAGGCTGACTATCATGATGAGGGACAATAACACTGCCTCAGGGCCCACTCCATGGCAATCCCAGTTCTAAGCTCACGGTTGTTGTTCTTAAGTATCGTCGAGTCGATTCCGACCCATTGCAACTCTGTATAGGGTTTCCAAAGAGTGACTGGTGAGCATGAACCGCCAATCTTGCAGTTCAAACGGCTTTGCTGTCCGTGCATTAACCTACACTGCCACACCAGGACTCGGTGGCCCACAGTAATCTGTTAGTCCTCAAACTTCTGAGATAGTTCATTGTTGTTGTTAGGTGCCACTGAGACGGTACCAACTCATACCAACCTTATGCACAACAGAACAAAATACTGCCCAGTCTTGGGCCAACCTCACAATAGTTGCCACGCTTGAGCCCACTGATGCTGCCACGTGGCCAATCCATCTCCCTGGGTGTCTTCCTCTTTTTCTTTGACCCTCCACCTTACCAAACATGATTTTCTTCTCCAGCGATTGGTCCCTCCTGACAATATATCCAAAGTATGAGAGACGAAGCTTGGCCATCCTGGCCTCCAAGGAGCACTCTGGCTGCACTTCTTCCAACATGGATCTCTTAGTTCTTTTTGGCAGCCCGCCCATGGCACTTTCAATATTCTCCTCTAACACTATAACTCAAAAGCATCAAATTTTCTACAGTCTTCCTTATTCACTGTCCAGTTTTCACATGCATATGAGGTTACTGAAAACACCATGACTTGGGTCAAGCACACCTTAGTCCTCAAGCTGACATCTTTGCTCTTCAATACTTTTAAAAGGTCTTGTGCAGATTTGCGTAATGCAATATGTCATTTGATCTCTTGACTGCTGCTTCCATGAGTGCTGATAGTTGAACCAAGAAGAATGAAGTCCTTGACAACTTCAATCTTTTCTCCGTTGATAAGAATGTTGTTTATTGGTCCAGTGGGGAGGATTTTCATTTACTTTATACTGAGATGCAATTCATACCAAAGGCTGTGCTCTTTGACCTTCATCAGTACTATTTTAAGTCCTCATCACTTTCAGCAAGCAAGGTTGTATCATCTTCATATCGCAGGTTGTTAATGAGTCTTCCTCCAATCCTAATGCCACATTCTTCTTCATATAACCCAGATTCTCGGATTACTGGCTCAACATACAGGTTGAATAAGTATGGTGAAAGAATACAACCCTGTCGCACACATTTCTTAATTTTAAACCATTCAGTGTTCCCATGTTCTGTTCAAACAACTGCCTCTTGGTCCATGTATAGATTCCTCATGAGCACAATCAAGTGTTCCAGAATACTCATGCTTTGCAATGTTGTCCACAGCTTATCATGATCCACACAATTGAAAGCCTTTGAATAGTCAATAAAGCACAGGTAAACATCTTTCTGAAAGTCTCTGCTTTCTGCCAAGTTCATCAGACATCAGCAATGACATCCCTTGTTCCATGGCCTCTTCTGAATCCAGCTTGAACCTCTGGAAATTCTATGTCAATGTATAGTTGCAGCCATTTCTTTAGTAAAACTTTACTTGCATGGGATATCATAGAGATTGTCCGATGATTTCTGTATTCCGTTGGATCGCCTCTCTTTGGAATGGGCACAAATATGGATCTCTTCCAATCAGTCAGCCAGATAGTTGTCTTCCAACTTTCTAGGCAGAGATGAGTGAGTGCCTCCTGTGCCGCCTCACTGTCTTGAAAGATTTCAATTTTTATTCCATCAATTCCTGGTGCCGTGTCCTTTGCCAATTCCTTCAATGTACCTTGGACTTCCTCCTTCAGTGTCAGTGGCTCTTGATCATATGCTACTGCTTGAAACAGTTGAACATCAATCATTTCCTTTAGGTACAGTGACTGTATATTCCTTTCATCTTCTCTTGATGCTTTCTGCATCATTCAATAACTTGCCCAGAGAATCCTTCAATAACGAAAGTTGAGGCTTGAATATTTTCCTCATTTCCCTCAGTTTGAGAAATGCTGAGCGTGTTCTTCCTTTTTGGTTTTCAGACTCCAGACCTTTGCACATTTTGTTGTAATATTTGACTTTATCTTCTCGAGCTGACTTTTGAAATCTTCTGTTCAGCTCTTGTACCTTCTCATTTCTTCCATTTGCTTTAGCATCTCTACGTAGGAGAGCAAATTTCAGTGTCTCTTCTGACATCCATTTTGACATTTCCTTCTTTCTTATCTTCTTAATGACTTTTTGCTTTCTTCCTGTATGATGTTCTTGATGTCATCCCACAACTCTTCTGGTCTTCGGTCTTTAGTGTAGTTCATAGCATCACCAATTTACAGAGGAAAAGATTGAAGCTTGAAAGGGCAAGGTAGTTTGCCTAAGCAGCTGGTAAACAGAAGAACTTGCATCCAAACCCACAGTTTGGCTACAAAATCCATACTCTTGACCATTACTTCCATTTCCTCTGCCTCTATAACAGTGAATACTTGCACTGATTGAAATAACATTCTTCCGCCCTTCTCCTGACCTCCACTCCCACACATGGCTTAGCTATATCTTCAAGATCAACTATGTCAACAACATCTTTACAAAGCCAGTCTTCTCAGTACCCAGAACTTTTCTGGCCACGTTTTGTACTGTGCTTGGGAACTATAAGCATGAGATTCCATACTAATACTGGTTATGAAAGAGAAAGCATTTTTCTATTCTGCAGAGAGAGATTCCTCAAATTCCGCAGTGACGTAAAAAGCCCTAGAGAATAACATTTTTTAAAAGGAAAATAAACACCAAAGAGAGATGTAAAGGAACATACAATTTTCACTACATTATATGTTGTATCTAAAATTACAGAGATTCAAATCTGTTCATAGTGAAGAGTTCATATGAGACGTCAGACATCAGAAATGCCTACTTAGTCACTCTTCAGCAAACATCCTCTTTTCCTAGCCCTCTTGAAAGACAGCCAGTTCTTTTTCTACCATGGTTGCAGTTTGCAGTTCTCTTTCTAGCCCATTTTCTTAACCCATACGACTGAGCTACCTTCTAGCATGCTTGAAAATGTCAAGTAGAAACCGAGAGGGACTTTGGCACTGCTACTGCCCTTTGAACAAGCCCTCCGCCCTACAGACTGTTCACTCTCAGTTTCCTTTTTACCAGCTGTTTTCTAAGGTAGGAGGAAAGGAAGGCGAGACTAGGAAAGGCTCACTTCTGCTTCCAATGAAAGGGAGGAGAAGAGGGGAACTGTGAGAGCTCCTACTGCCTTAGCCCCGGCAACAACTTAGTTGGGACAACTTTAGGAACTGGCCCCTGATTCTCAAAGTATACTAACATCTATCTATGTCACTGCTGTATCTGGTAACCTAGTGACTTGCCAAAACTCACGCTCCCAGGCAGCTGAGATTTTCAATATATTTGAGGTCTCTTTTCTACTCTTCTGTGATTTTACCTGCTTGCAAACTAACTTTATCTTCTTTCCCTTTAAATGTTCATGAGATCCATATTGAGTTCAGCAAGGAGAGTTTCGATCAAAACAAGGAAAAGGAAAAAAACCATGTTTCCAGTTCCAACACCAACTCACTGGGCTGCATTTACTAAATATTGACCTATGAAGGCTTATGGGTCTCAAGCTTCATTTGTTGTTGGTGTTGTTGGTAAGTGCTGTCAAGTCGATTCAAATTCACAGTGATCCTGTGTCAGATTTGAGGCATTAAATCTTCTTTGGAATAGAAAGCCTCACCTTCCTCCCGTGGAGTAGCTGGCAGGCACGATCTATGGACCTTGAAGTTTACAGCCCAGTGCTTATCATAAGCTTTAACAGGTACAATGACATCTCAAAACTTCTGCTGAAGACCTCAGGGAAACATATTTAATATACCTTCTATTGGGTATCTATTATATGCCAAGAGACAAACAGCTTTAAACATTACTTCATTTGATCGATCCTTGAGAAATTCATTGCCTTGGCATCAATTCTGACTCACAATAACTCACATGTAGCAACCCTCTTTTTCTAAAGAAAACTGAGGATCAGAGTTTAAATGATTTGTCCATGTAGCTAATAAGAAGCACAGCAGGATTTGAAGCCAAAATCAATGCCACTGGCACTACATCATGGCTCCATAAAGCATCGTAAACTCTAAAATTAACTGATCAAAGCAGTCACCCATGGGGAAAAAAAAAACCCTCCCTTAAATGTGTTAATTTTACTGCTATAAAAAGATCTATAGTAACATAACTACACATTTAAGTTACTCTAATAATAATCAGTGCCATATGGGAGAATACAGTACCTTTTACCTATATTTAATACGGAGTCCTGGTGTGGTGCTATAGGATAAGCACCAGACTGTAAGGTCAATATGAACTGCAAAGTTGGCAGATCAAATCCACCAGCTGCTCCTTGGAACCCCTATACCAGCATGCTGTGAATCGAAACCAACTCGACAGTACTTAACCACAACAACACTTAAAACAACACCATCTTTAATACAACATCATCCAGGCATTAGGTTTATTTTTTCTTAATCCAACAAAGAAGATGTATGTCCTTACCTTTCAGGAGAGCAACTGAGAGCTGGTCAGTGTTGAGGTTATTGACGTACTTCCCCAGATAGGTGTTGAGGACCCAAGCTACAAGACCTTCCAACATGACGATCTATATCCTCAGGGAATGGTGGCTAAAAATCATGGATCATTCTTTATTTTTCTCTCTCATGGTCACAGAAGAATCTATAAGGGAAAAACGCAAAACAGAAAGACTGGATGATTTCCTTCTCTACTTCGCCCCAACGGGGAAGAATGTAAAGTACAGATTTAAACAGACAGGATGAGAAACATGTAAAAAGATGTCCTAGTCAGTAAACAGAGGGCCAAACCATACACTGCATTGTGATATAGCTGCAAGAAAAAGTCACACTAATATATTTAGCCAAAACCCAAAACTGACAATTCAAAGATGTACATCTTTTCCATGTAACTGCTCAATGGACTTCTACTGGTTTTTAGTGGGGACCAGACTGTCCTAATGATCCTGACCAGGGATTCCCATCCTGGCATGATCTGTCAGGAGACAATTTAGGTTGTTGTGACCGGGGCTGTTAGTGGCACTTTGTAGGTAGGGATCAGGGATGTTACTACACATCCTACAATGCACAGGACAGCCTCCCCCACCCATTTCACCACACCACACACAAAAAAACAAAAAAATGTTCAAACTAAAATGCTAATAGTACCAAGGTTAGGAACTCTTGTTCTAGGTTAAGGAAAAAATATCCTGAGATATTTATGAATGAACCTCTGCAGTGATCCTCACTAAGGTAGCCCTAATTCAATTTTGCAAATTTGCTCATCAGAATTACTTGTATAATAATCCAAATGGGAGAGAGATGGCAGCATTTGATCAATATTCTTAAAAGTCGTGAAACTGCATCGTTGGTATCTGGACACCCAGTGATGCTATTACAAGGAATTGTTTTAGCCAATAAATTCCAAAAATTCTCTGGTTCCAACTACAGTATTGAGATTCAGTACTGTCAGTGAAAAAGAGGAAGACCCCCAAGGAGATGGACTGACATAATGGCTGCAACAATGGGCTCAAACAGAACACTGGGGAGGATGGCGCAGTCCCGGGCAGTGTTTCCTTCCGTTTGTGCATAGGGTCACTATGAGCCAGAGCAGACTCAATGGCACCTAACAACACCAGAAATACTACCAGCCTGTTATAAGCGCCAGAGTTTATCAGCGTTAAAAAAACAGAAGGAGAGTTGGTTTTACAAATGTTAACAAGACAGAAAACTGAAGCCAAAAAGCTTGAATGAGTTCTCAGGTCACCCAGCTAGTAGATCCCAATTCCAACCGTGAGCCAAGTCTTACGTTGAGCCACCCATGCTAGTTGTCAGCCACGATGCCCTCCACTCCAGATATGCAATGGCACGGATCCCCACTTGGAACCAGCCCACTTTCAGGTTCCTTTCCAAGTACTTTGCCCCACCTCCAATGATTCATCTTAGCTGCAGAAGATACTCTACCCTAACTGACAAGTTGCCATTGAATTAAGACCTATCATAGGAGGGCCCAAGGAGCTCTGGTAGTGTAGTGGTTAGGAATCAGGCTGCTAACCTCAAGGTTGGCAGTCTGAAACTACCAGTGGCTCTGCGGGAGAAAGATGAGGCGTTGCACTCCCGTAAAGATTTACAGCCTCGGAAACCCTGTGCAGGGTCACTATGAGTCGGAACCAACTCCACGGTACTTAACAACAACAACAACATAGGAGGGCCCTGTGAGAGTTAACTCAACCTCCAAGAGAGAGTGACTTCTATTTGTAAACAGTGTTTTTCCTTCCAGGCAAGATTAACCTGTACTTGCCGACAATAACAGTTAAAACAAAAGAAAACAGCATTAGATATAATACTTGACTCATTTATCGCCCAAGATTTTTTTTAAAGCTACTGTTTGATGTAGAATGAGAAATCATTATGTTTATTTATAGTTATTGTTGTTAAGTGCTGTCGAGTTGGAACCTTATATAGTGAGTGACCCTGTATAAGGTTTCCGAGGATCAGCTGGTGAGCTTGAACTGCCAACCTTGCAGTTCAAACGGCTTTGCAGTCTGGCGCATTTACCAACTGCGCCACACCAGGACTCCTTATTTACAACAGAGGTTGCAAAAATAATTTTTTTTAAAACTGTATTATTGTGAATTATGTGATCGTTTACATGGGAAACATTACCTTTACATTCATTCTATTGTATATGGTTACATTTCATTGCCATGGTTACAATCCCCTCCATGCATCATCAACCAACCAAAGGGTACACCCTGCAAGCCTGCTCCTTGGTGGTCAGCACACAGCCCCTGTCCCTTTCTGGGTCTAGGGTTCCCAGCTGCTCCATTTCTCCATGTCATCGTCTCTGCCTCCATCTCTGGGGTCACTGTTTCTCTGGGTAGGGTCCCGCCTGCATTCCACTCTTCTCCCTTGAAGGTCCCAGGGGCCTCCACTCCTGACCTGCAAAGTCAACCACTCCCCTTCTTTTGCTACAAAACGTCTACGTTTACATTTCCAACCCTCACAATCCATCCTAATAGTAATTAATCACTATTATACCACATGAGCACTATCCCCATCTCCTTTCATCAGTCCCGCCCAGACAGATTGGATACTACTCAGTGGAGATTCCAAAAATAGTTATTTTTAAATAAATGTTTTAAAGTCTCATCTGTCAGTTTGTCTTCTGTCAGTTTGTTGTGCTGTGGTAGCTTGTGAGTTGCTGTGATTCTGGAAGCTGTGCCACAAGTATTTTAAATACCAGCAGGGTCACGGTGGACAGGTTTCAGATGAGCTTCCAGAGTAAGACAAAGTCTGAGTAAAAGAATCCTTTATTGTAACTTTAAACAAGTAAATGTATGAAAACAAAATGTGACCCATTCTAATCTAGTCTTAAGATATGAACTCCAAACATGCCTAGACAAGGAGCCAAAGGCAGAGTATCTTTTATTTAGGGCGTTGACAGACACTCATTTCTACCCTAAACGTCAATCTCTTTGAAATGTCAATTGCAAATACCCTCCCATTAAAGGGAAACCACTGTTAAGTCTGTGCATCAGATCAGACCCTACTCTACTTTCTCTGAAGACTGAAGAATGCAAAGCTCAGATTCAAAGACACCCTGGTCAGTAAATTGAGGGCCAAAGCAGAAAGCATCCATTAGCTCTGCTAAGCATCCATAACCGGCTTGAAGCCTCTTCAAGGATTTCCTTAAGGAATCAGGTGTCAGCAGGGGCCGCCAGACTGGCCAGAATCCTGAAGTGTTTACACTCGGGCCCATCAAGAGGAGTACCCGGCAGCTGCCTGGCACTAACGCCCACCTGGCCTCCCCTACTCTGCCGGGCAGGTGACACTGGGGATCACTGTACTCAGTCCATGGACGGGCAGGCAGCCGGGCATGACCTTGAGCCAGGCCCCTCCCCCGAGGGGCAGCCAGAGTCGGGAGGATAGGCAACTGGCGCCCGCGCCCCATGCCAAAGAGGCTGGGGCTGAGTGCGGCCGAAGAGGGAAAGGTGTCAGGCAGGAGGCCCCTCAGAAGAGGGCTAGACGAGGCTCCCACCCTCTGTCCTTGGAACCTTGGACCCCCTCCAGGAACTGAGACCCCCACACCCTCCATAAGGCCTGGAGAGGAAGGCGTGACCGGGGAGAGGAGTTAAGATAGGTGTGAGGCCTGCTGTTCCTCTCCCAGAGCAGTGCTGGTTAAGGGGTCGTTAAGACACTCCGGAGAACTGACCGACGTCCCATTCTTCGGAGTGCATAGGGGGTCTCATACACCGGGTGTCACGTTTAGACTAGGGCTACGGCGAGAAACGCGGACTGACAGCCCCCCAGAGCCAAGTCGCCAACTTGCCCCGACCCTGGAAAGGGCGTCGGGGCTTGGGCTCCCCAGGATGCAGACGCATGGGTCCCAACAGGCTCAGCCAGCCCCGGACCCAAGTCTGGGGTGCCCGCGGGGGCTCGGACGCAGGGATCACGTAAGGCGGACGGACACTAGGCCGTTGGGGGCTCGGACGCCCGGGAATCCCCGGAGGAGCTCACACGACTGCAAGGAGGGCCGGACGTCGGGGTCCGCCGGGGTCCCCCGGGTTTTTAATGTTGCACTCCCCTCGGGCGGGCCCGGGTCCCACATTTCAGGAGGAAATTAAGCAGTCGGCCGCAGACTCGCGCCAGCCCCTCACTCCCCGGCCCGGCCTGCCGCCAGGCGCGACCCCACCTGATCCCCTACCTGTCGATGTCCCGGACCGCCCGCCCGAGCCCCGCGCTGCGCGGCGCTTCCTCTCCGTAGCTCCTCAATGGCGCTGGCCAGCGGCGCTCGGGCCCACCCCGACCCGATCAATCGAGCGAGCAACGCGCCGGCGCCTGGCCAGACGAGCGCCGAGTCATCGAGGAGGCGCCCCCTGCCGCTGGCGAGCGTTCCTGCAGGGCGCTTGGCGCCACCTGAGCTCAGAGGTGCTTGGGTTGACGCTGGAGAACAGCCCGAGCAAGCCCCATTTTACAGGTGGGGAAACTGAGTCCCAGGGAAGGGAAGGGCCTCAAATGAATCTGGCTCAGACAGGATTCTTCACCCTACAACACCCTGCTTTCCTGTCTTTCATCCAAGACAAAAGTGTAATTGACCCACCACAAGGCGACCCAGTGGGTTCACCACTCAACACACACAGGAGTGTCTATTAAAGCGTAATTTAGGCCATTCCACTTCCGTGCCTAAAACGACCTCCTCATTATACTTAAATTAAAAGCCACCTCCTTATAAAACTGACATCACAGACTTGCTGGATTTGGTCCCTTTGTTCTAGTTTGTTCCCTGGCACAATCTGCCCTGGCCCCCCTTCAGCTCCTGAGGCAGGACCTCTGCATTTGTCGTTCTCTCCACTAAGAATTTTCCCCCAAAACCAAAGCTGTTCAATAGAAAAACAATGCAAGCCACATGTGCGAACCACACAAGTAATTTTAAATTCTCTAGTTGATATATTTTGTTCAAGGAAAAAGAAAACAGTGAGATTAATTTTAATGTTGTTGTTGTTACGTGCCGTGGAGTCGATTCCGACTCCTAGTGACCCTGCACAGTTTCCGAGGCTGTTAATCTTTACGGGAGCAGAACGCC